ATCCACCAGGGTGAAAAGCACACCTGCCCAGGAAGCCAATGTAAAATTCGGTACTGTCTCAGCCCTACGTCAGTGCTACATGGAGAATCTGAGTAGTACTTACGACCTCATATCCTGCCGCATATTTTAGTCTCTCTGATCTTGAAAACCAGAGAGGTCCAAGGTCTGTAATATATACAGGAAAACAGATAATGGATCCCTTTATGTTGTCATCACTGAATTCTGTTTTGATGGATGTTTCAGTGCCAAGGCTTCTCTTATTCTCACTGCTGAAGGAGAGCTATTGCTGGACACCCTGCAGTCCCTCACTGAGCCGTGAGAAACTTACCAGTGTAAAACTGAAACAAGCTGCAGCAGTTGTACCATGAAAGCTTACTTTATATGTAAGCTGAGAAACAGTAGCTTCTGTTAGGAGGAGCTAACTGAGGAATAAATCAGTGATTCTAACCTATTACCTTTCCTGAATGACCAGTAAAGTAAATAAACTCGATGCCAGAAGGAAATTTTTTTACTTATAGATCACCCAAACCTGTAAGCTATTTCCCAAGCCAAATTTTGTCAAGGTAGTGCAGAACAGTTCCTCACTATTCCCCTCTTGGAAACATCCCTAGGATTAGAAAGAACTTCTCTGTCCCTGCTTTCTTGTTGGAAATCGCAATATGTGCATGTCTGTGAGCATAAACACAGTGAGAAACTACTGATGCAAAGTCAAATGAAGTAGTCACAGTTGTTCTGGTCAAATCTGTACAGCAGATGTGGTATCACTTTTTTGGGAAGGCAGTTTGTATCAAGTGGTTCATTAGTTGAGCCAATGTAATGGGAATTTATTTGTGGACTTAAGATCTGCTAATTTAGCTTGGCTTGCTGATTCTTTAGCAAAATAGACACAACTTCAGAAAAGTCACTCTCCTGGTAACCTGAATGACTAAAGTTCCGGAGCTGGAGGTGGAAATACCCAACTAACCTATCTGCTTGGCTCACTGCAGTCAGTCTCTAATGAGCTCTCCATTTATTCTGTGTGTCTCTGTAATGCTTCTGCCAGCCTGCGGCTAAAGTGCTTCTAATGGCAATTTCTGTTTCTTCACTACTTTCAAAGGAGTTGATTCTTCAGCGTATTGTGCTCGTTTTCATCCATTCAACTTTAATACTATCTACTGCAGTAGACTTAAACCAAAATGAAATATTTCTTGAAATGTTCAGGATGTTGTTGTTGTTGTCTGTTGAATTTAACTCCTTACCAGTGCAGAAGATACAAACAACACAGTGGAAATGGAAAAGTTTATTGCAAAACCAGAGGGATGGCAAAGTAGTATCCCTTTTTTTTTTTTCCCCTGGAAGAATGAGCTTCTTTGTTTCAACCTTAGGTCCAGAAATTTTTACAAACTCCCTGTCTGCAAATCTTGGTTCTGCGTTGATCATCATAGTCATATGAAATTATTTAACAGATATCTTGTTGCCAAGGTCACATGAAATCATTTAATAAGAACTTGAAAGTGAAGTTGTAAGCTCATCTCTCATTGAAACACTGTTTTGGCTTAAAAGAACCTGCTGAGTTGTAAGAATAAACAGGACTGGGCATTTTCCCAGTAATAAGATGGCAATAACAGGAAAGAATGCTTGGCTATGTTATATGGTAAGTGAACAATGCATCCATGAATTTTATATATTTATATTCTTAAACATTTCATGGTGACTTAGTTCTGTATCTTGTTTGAAATTACCCAGTGCAGGAAAATCATGTAGGTGGTCTGCAGCCATCACTAAGACTTTTATAAGTACCCCCAACAAAAGTAAAGGGAAATGTAAGTCTTTTTGTGGGGAGGAGATGGAAAGGAAACTGTTTGGGGGTAAAGAGTGATTTTATGAGCCTAACTATGTTTCATTTAAAGCTTTGTAATGGCTCTTCATTTCCACTCAGTGCACATTTCGGTCTCTGTTACAAAGAAGCAGCACTCCCAGAAGATTTGCTCTCTTTCATGAGGTAAAAGGTCAAAAGACAAAAAAAGTTTGAATGTTTTCATACTGAATAGTTTAAAGCTAATCCCTACTTCAGAAGCAGAGCTCTCTCACTGCTAAGGTAACAACTATAGGTCTCCTCATTGCTGTCTCTCTGGACTCATGGATCTCAAATTCAAATTACGGTGTCCCGATCTCAACAAGAAGGAATACTGTACTACTCACTCAGAGTGCCACTAACCTCATGGTTAGGCTCTCTCCTGTGAAGCAAGACCCATGGCCTTGGGCTCTGTCACCCTAAAAGGTCCATATGCCAGCTCTCCTACTTGAGCAAGTACCATAACCTCAGGGTTACTGTGCAGGTCGCCTCTTCCCACCATTTTTAAATGAAGGTGGCTGTGGCTGCAGGTGTCAGTGCACTCCCCTTGTGTTGTGAGCACACTCAAGGAATCAAGCAGTTTATGGCTGCAGTTTCCTTTTGTATGAATCCCAAACAGCCCTGGGCAGGAGAATGGCTTCTAAATACTGAGCTCTGGCAAGGTAACAGTTCTTGTGAGCAGAAGTAACAACTGGAGGTGCTCATCCAGCCATAGGTATGGATTAAATGCAGTTTTTCTCATCATTTAATTGCATTTTAGGATTTTAATTGCTACTAAAACAGAAAACTATTTACAGGACTTGTGAGGACCAGAGTTCATCTAAGTGAGTAAGAATGTTCTGTATTTTAATGAAAAAGGGAGGAGATCTTTCAAGAAAGATTCAAACCTGTTCTTGTATTAAAGGCAATTGCTCTTTGACTGCTCTGGCTGCTCTGCATCCTTCAAAGGAGACCACACTGTGTCAGCTAAATGATTGAAAAAATAGATTTTTTTACCAGACAGTGTAGAGTTGGACTCTCCAAACAGTTTTAAACAAAGTTGAGACACCACAAAACTTCAATTCAGTATGAATTATTCTTTGTACTGCTTCCACTAAGGAAAAACGCATGAAGCATTTCCTGTGCTGGACACAAAAAATTCTTCCCACTTTTACTGCAAGGGATTTGTGTTTCATTCAAAGACTTTACTTTTTAAACCAAAAATTTTCCTGCTAGACACTGTGTATGTGTTTGCTGTGTTTGTGTGAGGGAGCAGCTCCTGCTCAGGCTGGAATGACACCCTCCTTTTTCCCTTGTCTCTACTTCGATGACTGGTCTCAACCCATGAATCAGGAAAAAGACATACTACCAAAAAGCAAAGAGAGTGTGTGCGTAACTCATGAACACTAAATTCCAGAAATTCCCTCAGCTTAAATCCAAGTTCCAGTGGTAATGACAAGAAACTAGCACAGCCAAAGGCAGCACCTAAGGACCAGGAAATGAACTGATCAGATCTCTTGTCCCGTACTGACCCTCTAAGGCAGCTATTAAATATTGTCAGACGGAAATTCCCAGGGACAGGGCCTGATTCACTATTTCCCAGAGTATACTGCTGTCTCATAAGTGGAATATAATAGCATAATGCTGTTTGTTCTCACACAACCTACTGAACACTAGCTTCTTGGGCATACTGAACAGAGTTATTTACTCAGCTTATCGATTACACTGGAGAAATGCAATACTTCTTCAATCTAGTGCAAAGCAGTGGGTTTATATGTTTGCACGTGCTGTAGTCAGCAATGATTAGTAGCTTACATATCTCAGCAGTTTCTTTTTTCTTCCTTAAATTTTAAATAAAATGCAATGCAGATTTAGTACTCTGATCTGTGTTCTTTCCTTTTACTCACCTCATTTCTCAGATCTCATTCACAAACTTCCCTTCTTCTGTCACCAGAAAAATTATGTCAATATTCCACACCACCTGATGCATCCTCTTACTGTTTTATCCAAAGAACAGAGAAAACATATATAAAGTACTAACCAAAGTGTGTTGGGCCTGGAAACAACATAATTTGCAAAACATATTGTCTTTATTTTAAGTTACAAGAATTGTCTCAAAGTTAAAAGCCTGGGTGTGTGCAATGATCTCACACACCAGATGTTGCCTCTAACGTACAAATATTGAAGGAACTTTGGCAATGTGTTATTTTTCCTGAGTATTGGAAAGAGAAGAATCATTAAAAAGTCTGAATTTAAGACCTCATTAGGGTTTTCATGTAAGGGAGGTATTATAGAGAACATGGAGAACACCGGGAAAGCTGAAAATTTGAATCTGAGATACTATCTGCACTGACTAAAAAAAAACAAACAGGGAAAACCCAAACCTCTTAAAATAGAGTGGAATGCATGTTTGTGTTTATTTATCTCTTCAGTTCCATAGTTCCATGGAATGCAGTTCTAAGTAGTTGATTCACAATTAAGAGAGTCTTCAACTGAAATGATTGAAGGTCCATTCAGTTTCTTTACTGGAAAGCCCTGTCATCCATCAAAACTTTGCCCATGAAAGGAAAACAGTGTTGCAGTTCCAGTGTGAATTCCACTGTGTAATGAATTTAAATCCCCACCAGTTGCTGGGAAAGTTTAACCTTGGGATACTTTGTTCAATACTTTTCTAGCAGATAATGAATGCCTGAAGAGAAACATTTGATACTATTCAGTCTCAACATCCTTAATAGCAAATTCACTGTGGTGTGATATACCTGTGGTGAATGTAGGAAACCAGAAAAAAGGGGCCACAATTACCCATCCACTTCGTAGTTGTGGCCATTGGCAAGAACTTGCAATGGCTACAGAAATAGTGCCAACCATTCTTGGAAGAAACACCAAGACAGAGGGCAATTAATACAGCTTGTTTATTTTCTGGCAGCCTACAATACATATTGGGCCACTGAGGGAGAGCCAGAGGCTGCTTTAATCTTCAAGAATTAGCAATAACATGCTGTGTCAGAATTTTAGAGGTTGGACTGAATCCACGTTAGCTTTACTGCTCTTACAAAACATTGAGACCGCATGGATGGTAGTATTTTCCTGTGCATTCATAAATGCCACTCAGATTCTGACAATGACCATCTTATTTATTTCAATTTATTTTATTTCATTATTTCATATTTTATTGTTTTCCTCACAGAGTTATTTACCCTCTGCTCAAGTCTGCCCCCTGAATTTCCTGTGACTGACGAACACATTTCCTTCTATCTTCTGCCTCTGACTGGAAGAAACAGCCTCAAAAGATCAAGAAACAGATGGACTGTTCTTGGTGTTTCTCTCACAAATGAAGGTCTAGTTGCCAGTGGCTTTAGTTTCATTGGAAGAGGCAGCTGCTATGATACAGCAAAGTGGGAAGATTAAACGATTTGGGGCCAGTGAGTTCACCCAGGAGAGAAGGGGTGGAGAAGACAGTGTCTAGGCACAGTGAGTCACTTGTGTTGCGAGAGCAAGTGCCTGGACAAGGTAGGTACAGACTAGCACAGAAATTACTAAAACAAATGGCCCTTGAAACATGATTTGGAGCAGAGCCTAGAGCATATCTGCAGCACACATGAGATAAATCCTAGAAATGGTAGGAAGGGATGTCAGACTGGAACAAAAGCTGAATCTTACTTTAAAGTGCCCAAAATGGATCAAAAGACCCACTAGAAAAATTCACTGAGTACTAAGAATGACTAATGCTACATGACTTCTGAGAAACTTAGTATCTGATAGTGCCCATAGGACATGCCCATGCAGAGGACATGCCTTGCTTAGATAAAAGTACTGTGATGTATGTAAGAGCCTCAGCCATCCTTGAGCGTGCTTCCTGATTCCCAAGAAGGGAATGGTGTAGCCAAGCAAAAGATTGTTGTTCCAGATGTGCATCTGGGTTTCCCTCAGCCTCTCACAGCCTCCCCTGAACAAAGGGTCCATTAGAACATGCTCCCCTGCCATTGCAAAGCTGATCTTAGGATTTAAGCATATTAATTTTATGGCAATAAGAGCCCACAAGTGTATTCCCCTGTGCTTCCTCACCTGGTCAGCATGAACACTTCTCCCGCTTTCTTATACTGAATAGATCCCACACTCAGCCCTGCATTTTAAGCTCCTTGAAAATCTGAACTTTGCTACTTCCCTCATACCTAATCAAGTATTTCAAACCTGTTCTGCTCCTACTTACTTATTCTTAGAACTGGTAGGTAAGGACCATCATGGAGTCAGGAAAAGAAGCTCTACTAGGAGATATATTTTTTTTCTCTGTTTCCCTAAAAAGGCCTCCGGTCAGTTTTAGGAGAAAGGGATTTTCTGTTTGTAAGCCTTCTTCCTGGTGTTACTGGCAAAAACAAGGGACGGGTTTAAATAGCTCCTGGGCGGATCTTCCTTTGCAACCAACATCCCCAGCTCAAGCTTTCCTGCAGACTGTGTGTCCTCCTGATGTGCCCCCAATACACAACACATCTTTGCCACCAAGTCCAAGAATTTATAGGAGACTGCTGGAACTGCATTCAGAGGAAAAGGCACAGAGGCTTAGTGGTAGAAAACAGCAATATAACTATACAAAAGAAAAATAAAAAACTCTTACCTGGTAACTCTACCAAGAGTTTGTTAATTTGGTTTCCTGTCTACTGGTGTAAACACCCAATAGCAAATGTCCCCTAACCACACAGCTTCATCCCTCCGCCTCTGCTAACCCTCTCTCCCGATGTGGTGGCACTGAGTATAACACGCCTAAAGTCTCCAGGTGTACTTCAAAAGCCTGTCCCTAAACCTGGTTCTTTTCTGAGACTTTCATAACTATTGCAGCTCTTGTGATTTCAGTGTCAGTTGATGGGGAGAAGAAGTTGAAGAATTTATTCAGGACAGCAGCTGTTCCCTAGAAAGGACCCTGAGAAACCACTGGAGACCTTCTGCTGTCTCCAGATAGAATTAACTGTAGCTGACAAAGGTTTTTGTAACCTCTTCTTATACAACCCTAGTGACACTGAAGACATAGCTTCTTCACACAGCCTCTTCCAGTATTTAATTGTCTTCCAAGCTGAAAGTATTTGTCCAGGGTTCAGCCTACAGCTCTCTTGCTGTTTTTTAACTTGATTTCTTCCTCTTCTGTGCTCAGTGTGGGTATACAATGGCTAATTTTGCTGCTGCTGTTTTAAAAGTCTTGTCCCTTTCTTCAGACTAAGTCATCCCAGTTCTTTCAGTTTTTGTTTTGCATAATCTTCATTCCTCCCTCTTTCATTTGTCCATTTGCTTTCTGGTTTAGGGTAGATAAATAGCTATAAAAATGCTCAAAATGACCCTTGGGGGATTCTAAATAAAACCCTTGTAATCTCTGTAGTCATCAGCTCCTTTATTCATACTAATAAGGCAGGATGAAGTATGGGTAAATAAACAACCCCAAGGCACAGCTAATACAAAGCAAGTATAAAGCAAAAGGTAAGTCTCTGTTTTGTAGCTCTGGAGCTGTTTTAGCTGTACAGCTATTACAGTAAACAGATTTCCACAGGGAGATACAGCAATTCTGAAATACAGTAAGAGAACCTGAATCAGAAAGAATTTCTTTGTGGAAAGGGTTGTTAAGCATTGGAATGAACTGCCTGGGGGTGTTGTGAACTCACCATCCCTGGAGACGTTCAAGAAATGAGTGGATGTGGCACTTAGTGCTATGGTTTAGTTGACAAGGTGGTGATCAGTCAAAGGTTGGACTTGATGATCTTGGAGGTCTTTTCCACCCTAAATGATTCTGTAATTCTGTGGTTCTCTCTGGCACTTGGCCATGCTCAAGAGTGAGGGAAAACTGGGGCTCAGTGGACCCAAAGATGACTACTATTAAATGCCATTCTTCATTCCTTTTATCTCAGAGCTTTTGTTCATACACAGTAGTGGATGGCTCTATGACATGTACCCATCAGGGATAGCTCTGTGTCCTCTAGAGCAACAGACCCAAAACTTTATTGGCCCATGACAATACTGACTGAAAATACATTCTGGAGCAACATCATTTATTCTCCTTATCAGCTTGAGTTATGGTATTAACAGTCATGCCTGGCTACACATCACGCTGGAAGTTGGAGTCTGCAATACTGTCCATAAACCACTTCTCCAAAGCTTCAGGCTACAGAGCTTACACATCGTTTTCTAGGATTGCACGTTCTTCTGAAGCTGTTTTCTGTAATGTTAGGTTTAGACACTGGCATAAATATACGTATTTGGCAAGGTGTGTTTCTGGTTAAGGTTCTGAAGATGCATGATGTAAAGAATTGAATGCTTTCCAATCCCAAATATGTAAAATGTACCATACTTTATTTAGCATAGCTGTGGACAGGAAGAAAGAAGATTTACCAGCAGACTGAGTGAATCAAAATGCCAGGGTAGTTTTTGACGAACATTATTTAACTTGCTTATATGCATTTTCAAAGTAGTATAAGAAATGCAAACTGATAGTATTTCAGTGTAACCTTCTATTAGGGAAACATTTACCATTTCAGCCCAGAGTACATGGGTAACAGGATAGCCTTGTAAGCAAGATGTGTATCTGAATAAGTCATAAGCCTCTTACACCAGCATACGGATCAGAGAGGGTACAGATCTGTGGATTTCCCTTTGGATCTGTGAATTTTCTACAAGTGCATCTCTTTCTGTTTGCCACCATCAGATCTCAGTGGAATGGAAATTTGAGGTTTGTGATAGTCCCTAAAGTGGGCCTCATCTGGTAAATTTCCCAGACACTTAATCCACTTGAGTCTTTTGAGAGGAATTAAAGAGGTATGCTAGCTTAGCCTGTCTGAATCTTCTTGTGTAGACATGTACCAAGCAGATATTTACCCTCTTTTGGTCTATACAACAATATTAATTGTCATAAACTTTTCTTGTCCTGGGTTTTGTTTTTGTTTTATTTTGGTTTTTTTTTGGTTTTGTTTTTGGTTTTTTTGTTTGTTTTTGTTTTTTGGGGGGGGTTTTGTTTGGTTTGGTTTTTTGGGGGGATTTTTTGTTTGGTTTGGTTTGGTTTGGTTTTGGTTGTTTTGTTTTGGTTTGGTTTGGTTTTTGTTTGGTTGGTTGGTTTGGTTTGGTTTGGTTTGGTTTGGTTTCTGATGCAATTGCCTTGGGAAGGGACAGAGGGACATGTTCAAGTGATCTTTTGGATATGATTCTCTGTGTGAGCTCTTGAAGACCAGAAAACTCTTACAGAGAAATAGAGGAGTAAAAAAATGTATACAGCATATTTTTATTCTACCTTTATTCTGACATTTTAAAATTGCTTAGCATGACATGCAACATTGGCACCAGCCAGAGACAGAGGCAGGCCTGGACTTCCACTTTCTCCAGGACACTCAAGAGAAGTAAAATCCAGTATGTGCACAGAGGGATGTATCTGGTTGACTGTGATAGACATGAGAGGTTTTCATCCCAGAGACCAACTGGAAACCAGAATTACTCTGCTGCCATTCACCCTATTACAGTGTTATAACCTGACCCAAAATAAAGTAATTTGAAATGTATTGAATAGTCACATTTGGTATCCAAGTAATTTTTTAGCTTTAGTATGGCCAAACCAAAATATCCCAGTCCAATTTTGAGAAAATGGGTAAGCCATATAATTTCCAGTGTGTTAAGTGTGAAGTTCCCCTTTCAGTGCAATAACTTCAGGAGTTTACCATCCTATATGGGAATAGAAGCTTATTTAACATTATACTGTCATGACTACACCCAAAACTATTAAAAAATAGCATTGTGGAGACAAAACCATTATGTTTTTTTTAGAAAGTCTCCATTAAAAAAAATCCTTTGAGTAACAACTGTTTGGGTGATCCATCTGTAAAATTAAGATGTCAATAAGGCTACAAAATGATGACTGAAAGACAGATGTCTTTCAGTAAGAAGTGAAGGGAAAACATGCAAACACTTATGAATGACAGAGATTTAACCTTCACAATCTGCCAAAGGAGAGAAATTATCTTTTTTAAAATTTTCACACTGTCTTGGAGGATTTTATTGTAACGGAATATAACTTACTGGCAGTAATCAGGTGAAATTTGTGTTATGCAGGACACAAGGCTACATGACCTAATGGTCTGTTCTGGCCTACAGTTTGTTTAAATATGACTAATTATTTTATGCAATTTTTTTCCAATGTAACATAGTTTAGCAGTTAGTCAAAATGTAATTTGGTTATTCCTAGTAAGCAAGTGATAGATAAATGTGGGTAATGTTTACTTGAAGATTTCAATGGTCTACATATCTTCATGTGGTTTCTTTCATGGTTTTGCACATGAAGGACTCCACAGAATGTGAGACATGACTGAGCTCTTGGTCTGAGGTTATGCGGTATTATATCCAGTTCTTACAAAAAAAATACAAAGCTGCTCTGAGTAGCCTGTAGGAGTACTTTTCTAGGGAGATCATCACATGGGGTCTTCTTGTTTAATGCTATGTTTTTCATTGTGAAATTTCAACTGATCATGAAGACAGAAAAAGGTCATTATCAACTGGCAGAGAATGTGCATGGAGGGCACAGAGGATCAACAGCAGCTCTGATCTTGGGGTTAGTTCAGTAGCTGCCCTGGGCCTTGCATGCACTGGATATGCTAGGAATGCTGGATATGTTCCATACTGCTCAACAGCTACCAAGGATGTGTAGGAAGCTTGATTTGCTCTCAGTCAGTTTGTACCTATTTCCTTTATGCATGGTCAGGAGATTACTCATTTGGAGGAGAAAAATGTTCCAGGAATTTGGAACTGACTTGCACTTAAACTAGAAAAGTTCTTTCTGTACCTCCTGCTCAGTGGCACTCAGGACTTCTCCAGCGGGGGAAGTATGTTGTGTAGAACAGTTCATCTGGAGAATGGATGAGCTTACAAAGCTGGTTGGAAAACGGAGACACTGAACTTGCATCTTGCATCACGCTTTCCCCTCATGCTTCATTACTTCCATGTCTGACATTAATGGGCTATGTTTTCAGTGTTTTAATCACATTTATTGTGGCAGGAGTGGTACCTGTTACAAGTATGGCTTTCAGTGGAATACATAAAGAGAAGAGATCAGCATATAGCAGCCTAAAAATATTCTTTTTGTATTTTTAGTATATTATGAGATCATATTCATCCATAAAACCATGAGAGGGCAGCATTCTCTCTATCATTCATATTCTCTTTCTGGTGGAAAATAAAGAGATACTTTCTTTAACATTCATCTCATAAACCACAGAGAAGTGTTATATATAATTCAGAGCTTGGTTCAATATTCTTTGTAATCAATATGAATGTTTCCCTTGATTTAAACAGGTGTTGGACTGGGGCTTCAGTTGTTCAAAATGACATCAGGAAGAATTGTCTACATAATTTAAATCAGAAGATACCAAAAATAAGCAGTCAGGAAATTATTTTGGTGGCGGTTAACCATTGGAACAAAATACCAAGAATACTGGTGTATTTTCCACTTCTTTGTGTCTTTGAATTCAGACTCAGTGTCCCTTTGGAAAAAGTGGATAAAAGCTGCTGGGTTCAATACTGAGGTAACAGAGTAATATTTTGTGAACTGCATGGCATAAAAGAGAAGCTAATGCTTTGTGTACAAAGACAGGGTAAGCCCCACATATTTTAATGCTGTCTGTAATTATTCAGTGAAACCTTAATGTTTCAGTGAGGGATCTTACAATCAAAATGGATGAGGAGCAGTGGTCATAAACTAAAACACAAGAATTTCCACCTCAACGCAAGGGAGAACTTCTTAACCTTGAGGGTGGCAGAGCACTGAAACAGGCTGCCCAGGCAGGTCATGGAGTCTCCCTCTCTGGAGACATTCAGAATCCACCTGGATGAGTTGCTGTGTCACCTGCTCTAGTTAACCCTGCCTTGGCAGAATTGGACTAGGTGATCTGCAGAGGTCCCTTCCAACCCTAACTATTCCAAGATTCTGTGATTTCCCCAAGCAGGGGTAAGACTAGATGACCTTTAAAGGTCCTTTCCAACACAAACTATGATCCTGTGATTGTCTCTAAGTCAGCTCAGAGCATTTGCATCATCTGTACTGCACAGGCAGTCAGGTTTGCTAAGCAAAATGATCTCCTCAACTCTGGAATCCATTAATGTGGCCAATACAATTAATCTAGCCAACAGTTTCAGTGCAAAATGTTACGGCTGTGATGTGATCCTTTGAGCAACATCAATACAATATTGTAGCAATAAGTGATTGGGGTTTTTAAAAGAATTAACTGTGCATTTTTTGCAAAATTAGAATAGCTTAAGATGGAGAGTGAGGTTTTGAAAAAGGGAAGCAGAATTGTTTACTTCTAAATGTTTTCTTCAAAAATAAGTTAGGTGACAAGAAGCTACTTATTTTTTAGTGAGATGAATATTTAGACATCTCCCAGTGCCAGTCCAATATAGAGTGGCAATGGCTAATTAGCATTCTTGCCTGCAATTTCAGCAGAGAGTAGAATTTAATGAACATGGAGACCGAGCTATTCTTTTTATACTGCTTGACATGATGACCCAACTCCAACCCCAGCGGGTTTATGATGAAATTGTATTTTCTTATTTGTTTACTTCATCTCCTGCTGTGAGAGAAATTCCTGTATGTCTCTTACTCACTGTATTTCAGTCATTACAACACCCCTAAAATGATGCACAAAGTTTTCACTGTGAATACCCTTAGGAGGTACCACAAACTGTGGTTACACGGAAAAGTCATTGGGCCAAATGCAATGGTAGGCAAATGTAAATGATTCATGAAGATTGCCCCAGGCAATCATGCAATATGTGAGAAAGCAAAGGACGTCCACAAGGGTTGGCAGTAAATGAAACAAAAATGTTATTTGATCTATATCTACTTGCATTTTCTTTCATTGATATGCATTACTTGAAAAGGTTACCCATTTTTTCAGAGGGAAAGAAGCTGTGTCTAAGTGTGATTTTTAAATAGGACCAAAATAAAGAAAAATGTTGATTTTCTAGTTAAGTTTTGAAGACTACTAAAGGGTGTTAGCATTTAATAACTTGAAATATTTTCACATAGCTTCCATAAAAAAAATTAATGTGAGGTATTATTAAATTTCCCATAACTTGCCATATAAAAATGAATTCAATAACAAGTGAGCTTTGCCAAGATGACTGTCTATTTTTTTAGAGAAATAATGTAGCTGTTCAGACTAGCCTACATTTTACATGGGGTTTGAATTAGCACTTTTTCAATGGGTCTCAAAAGCTTTTTTCTCTGCTATTCAACTCAATACTGAAGCTCCAGTTCAGGAAGGTACTTCATAGTGTGAGTAATCCTATTCCAAGTAGTGGGCTACTGACACGCTTGCAGTTGGACATGTACTCGCACATCTCAGGAACGAGGCCTTGGCGTAACAACTCTAGCTGGAGTATGGGGGGGACCCTTATATGGTTTGAGCCTCACCTCGTTGTGGTTGGAGTCATGCACTTCACTCGCAAGAGAAAAGCAACAATACGTTTTATTGATATAGGACAGTGAGATAACAAAGTTCAATGGCAGATGTGAGAGTGGCTTAACAAGATTCATTGGCAAGGTATGTACTGCATAGAGGGATGTCAGGAGACCCTGTCGTCAAGTCATGAGGTTCAGAAAGGACCCCCTTGCATTCTAAACTCCTTCTCAGAGAGGAGTTTTAGCTGCAGCTGTATTCAGGCTCAGGCCCAGACTTTATCAACAGTTTATATCTAAAGGGTCATTCTTTTTATCGCTTTGCTAAGACTTCCAAGTTTCAGTACTCCTATTCCCAATTCACCTACTGAATATCTGATGTGATAAGAATACTCTTAGCCTTGAGGAGTAGCCATGACAGGTGTCTCCCCACTCAAGGGGAGATCCTGGCATGGAACCCTACCATGCAGTAGAGCTCAACAAGTCCTGGACTGTCTGCTAGTTATGGGGATAAGGTGATTGACTTATGGTTGTATTTGCATACCAGTTGTGTTTTGGTTGGCTCATGCTCAACTAGCCCTCAGCTGCTGAGCAAGATTTATAGCCCTTAACTATTCTGTTGTTTTCTGTCTCCCCAGAGTCCAGCTGAAGACAGATGCAGCAATTCCAAGTGCCACTGGTGGGACATTTGCTTGAGCAGAGAAAGGGTGAGGGAGGAGCCCTCACACACCTGAGTTTTGATTTGATGTCTAAAATAGTGCCTGTCACTCTGCTTTTCATTGGTGTGGTGCCACTGCCTATGCTTTACCATATCTAAATTTTATTTATTCAGAAAACATTCAAGAGGTCACAGCCACTTTGTGAGTAATATAAAACATGGAAGTATGAAATGCAAACAGTCAAGACAGGCCCCAAAAGAAATGTCACAACATGCGAGGAAAGTGCATACGGTAGTAGCAGCAGGAAACATCATAGCTTTGTGCCTCCTCCTTTTTTGATAGAAGAAGAAGTAGGGTTGAGGGGGGAGGGGTGAAATGAAGGAAAGGTAATGAGGCCACATGAAGACAGACAGAGATAATGGGAGGGAAAAAAACAGGTCTTCACTGTGGGGCAATGAGATTCCATTAAAGAGATCCTTGATCTGGGTTCTGCTTTCTCCCCATCATGTTGAGTCAGCTCCTACAACTGGGTGGCAAGGAGAAGGGAAATGGAGAGAGAACCATCACTGGCTGGCTTTTGCAGTTGCCAGAGTGGCTAATGAATCTCCTTCACCCTTCTCATCTATGTCTCAATATAATTTGCTTTTTTCTGTGCAGTGCTATTGTGGAAGGCCATGGATTTTCACTCATTTTAATAGTCAGCTGATGTATTCAACAGGGAGCTTACTTTGCTAAATAAGCTAGAAATCAAAACACCAAGAAGCATATTGCAGTGAAATAAAATACAGACTCTAATTGATGCAGTAGTTTTGAATAAATCTTTCCATTGTCACAGTCCGCATGCTAAATGCCAAGGCCTGTCAACACCACTTCTTGGTTACCTACCTAAGGTATTCATATAGCTCTTCTTACTGCAGAATCCAACTGCATCCAGTTTAAGGTATTAATCTGTTAGCAATACCACTTTATGGGGTTTTACCCAAACAGAATAAAAAACACATGGCAAAAAATAAATTACAGGCTCCATTTTGCAAGATTGTCAGATCCCATCTCTTCTTGCAGAGCCAAAATAACTTGGAGACCAGTGTAGATGCTTTGCTGGGAGCGCATGGGTAAGGTGATGCCCCAGCAGAGAACTGAAGTCAGATCTTTCAAGAGCCTTACACTGGGCCACTCTGTCCTTTTGTAGAGAAGTGGCCCAGGGGAAGTAAATTTTTGCAAACAACCCATGTGAGGTTTAGAGATAGTAAATTTGCTATCTTTATGGAATTGTGATGGTTTTCATCTCTTTGCAACTTCAAACTGTGCACGTGAGCTGGAACAGCAACTGATTTGTCCTCAGATTTGCTTGGAAGAGACGCTCTGGAAGAGAGGCATCAAATGCACACTTCTGCTGAAATTTTACATCTGTCCCTCTGGGTATTTCCACTCGGAACATGTAAAGTCATTTTATAGACAGAAAGGAGGAAAGATGAACCCCTAATTTATGAGAAATGTGAGGTGGAGGAAGCAGAAAAGAGAATGTCACTGATTGCAGTCTTCTGCTATTGCAGACCAGACATCACATGGTCCCTTTCACAAAATTAATGGTTTAGTGAAAAAAAAAAAAGTCCTGATACCAAACTAGCCCCAGACTCTGTCCTGTGCCCCTCACTGACTTCAGCTGGCATCTCTGAGTTATATGTCAGATTGTAATTAGGCCTCTGAAAGTAGAAGATAAAAAAGGCCTTTTGTGGCATTTTGTGCCAACAAAGCTTAAATAATTTCAGTGTTTAGGCTCCCAGAACTGTTTTTTATTTTTCAGGAAAAAGGGTCAATTTTTTATTTTTTCCATTTTCTTCTGTTTTTTACAGGTGTCCTTTTTCTCCTCTTGCACTAAAGAGTCAAAATTTGTCCTGGTAAATTTATCTGTAAAATCTATTTTACAGTTCAAGATTCTACTGTTGTGAAGACATCACATTTTATTTAACAAGAGGTATTCAGGTAGGTCCTATAAAAAAGTATTATTATCCTGAAAAATCTCTCTTAAAAACATTTTGAAATTTATTCATGATAGTCTGCAGAGGGTTTTTTTCTAAGCTACTATATGGCAAGGATATAATTTTGTATTAAGTTCTAACAGCTCAGAAAGTGTATGAAAAAATAATAATTTTCTATTAAATGCTAAAGGACTTTCCTCCATGAGGATATAAGGAAGCTCTACAGGAACTGCTAGTTATGCTGCAGAAGGATTTTTCAGGCTTAGAGAGCTTGGGGGAGGGTGTTTGAGTGCATTAGTATTCACTCCACATTCTTGCCTGCTGTTCCACAT